CCTCCAATAAGTATTCCCCCAATGACCATACCCCTTTACCTTAAACTATCTACCCTCCTCATCACCATTCTAGGCTTCACCCTAGCACTAGAACTATGCCTAAACTCACTCAACCTAATCCCCAAACTATCCTCACCCTCACACAACTTCACCCTCCTAGGATTCTTCCCAACCCTTACCCATCATACAGTACCCTACCTTAGCCTAACCACACGCCAAAGCACAGCCTCCCAAACACTAGACCTAGCCTGACTAGAAAAAGCAATCCCCCAAAACATTGCCCACTTCCAAGTACTAGCTGCAACAACCACGTCCAACCAAAAAGGTCTAATCAAACTTTATTTCCTTTCTTTCCTCATTACAATCCTGACAACTACACTATTAATTATCTAACCACCCTGAGTAACTTCAATAACAATAACCACACCTATAAACAAAGACCATCCAGCCACCACCACCAATCAGCACCCATAACTATACAACACAGCCACACCCGTAGAATCCTCATGAAAATAACCCGCCCCCCTCCCCCTCAAAAATCACCCAATTACTCATACTCTTAAAACTAATAACAACCTCTACCTCATCATAACACGCCATCTACAAAACCACAAACAACGCTATCACCAACCCCAACAGCAAAGCCCCCCAAACTACATTTGAGCCCCAAGCCTCAGGATACTCCTCAATGGCTATAGCAGTAGTATACCCAAACACCACCATTATACCTCCGAGATAAACCAAAAACACCATCAACCCCCAAAAAGACCCCCCAAAACTAACCACTATACCACAACCGATCCCCCCACTAACAAGCAACCCCATCTCACCATAAATAGGGGAAGGCTTTGAAGAAAACCCCATAAAACCAACAACAAAGGCAACGCTCAACAAAAATGCAGCATATATCACAATTCTTACATAGGTTGGAACCATGACCAATGATGTGAAGAACCACCATTGTACTTCAACTACAAGAATCTAATGACCAACATCCGAAAATCACACCCCCTCTTAAAAATTATTAATCACTCATTCACTGACCTCTCCACACCATCAAACATCTCAATATGATGAAGCTTTGGCTCACTACTAGGCACACGCCTACTATTCCAAATCACCACAGGACTATTCCTAGCCAGGCACTACACAGCAGACACAACAACAGCATTTTCCTCCGTCGTCCATATCTGCCAGCACGTAAATTATGGCTGAATTATTCAATACGCCCATGCCAATGGAGCATCCATATTTTTCATTTGCCTCTTCATCCACATAGGCTGAGGCCTCTACTACGGATCCTACACCTACTTAGAAACCTGAAATATTGGCATTATCCTACTCCTTACAACCATAGCCACAGCATTCATAGGCTACGTCCTACCCTGAGGACAAATATCATTTTAAGGGGCAACAGTAATCACAAACCTACTATCCGCCATCCCATACATCGGCACAGACATAGTAGAATGAATCTGAGGTGGATTGTCAGTAGACAAAGCCACCGTCACACGTTTCTTCGCCCTCCACTTCATTCTACCCTTCACCATCTCAGCCCTAGCTGTTGTACATCTCCTATTCCTACATGAAACAGGATTCAACAACCCCTCAGGAATTCCATCAGACTCAGACAAAATTCCATTCCACCCCTACTACACGATTAAAGATATACTAGGAGTTCTCCTACTCATCCTACTACTCCTCACCCTCATCCTCTTCTACCAAGATATGTAGCCAACCTAAACGTCCATTGACAGACAACTGGATAAAGAAAATCTGGTGTGTGTATACACATACACACACACACAATGGAATACTACTCTGCCATAAAACAGAATGAAATTCTGCCATCTGCAGTAACATGGATGAGCTTAGGGAGAATTATGTTGAGCGAAATAAGCCAGGCACAGAAAGAGAAATACCACATGTCCCCACTCTAAAGTGGGAGCTGCGAAAAAAAACAACAGATACAACAATCACAATAATTCCTTGAACTCTCAAAAGGAGAGAACAGAACTAAGGACACCAAGGGTGGGAAAGGGTTTGGGGGAGGGAGGGTTAGGGAGAAACTGGTAAAGGGCCACAAAAAATGTTTACATTGTGTAATGATAAAATTAAATAAAAAAATCTAAATTCTACTAAAAAAATAATATGAACACAATTTAAAAAAACACACACATACATACAAAAGAAGGCAGTAGGGGAGGGATAGAGAAACAAAAAATAATTGACAAATCTTTACTAAAATGCAAAAAAAAAAAAAAAGACAATTCAAATTACTAAAATTAGCAGTGAATGAGGGGATACTTCTTCCAACCTTACAGAAATAAAAAGGATTATAAGGGAATACTATGAACAACTGTAACAAATTAGATAACCTAGAGGAAATGGAAAAATTCTTAGAAAGACACATACTACCATAACTGACTCAAGAATTAGAAAATCTAAATGTTATGAACTGAATTGTGTTCCCCCAAAATTCATATGTTGAAGCCTTAAACCCCAATGTGACTGTATTTGGAGTAGGGCTTTCAAGGAAGTAATCAAGGTTAAATTAAGTCATAAAGGGCCCCTATTTCAAAAGGATTGGTGTCTTACAAGGCAAGGAAGAGACATCAGAATTCGCTCCTTTCTAAGAATGCACACAGAGAAAGGGCCATGTGAGGACACAGCGAGAAGGAAGAGTCTGCAAGCAAAGGAGGCCGGCCTCACCAGAAACCAACCCTGCTGGAACCTTGGTCTTGTACTTCCAGCCTCCAAAATTGTAAGAAAATAAATTTCTGTTGTTTAAGCCACCCAATCTGGTATTTTTGTTATGGCAGCCTATACTGATTAAGATACAGAGTAATCACAAGAAGAAATGAAAACAGACATAATTAAAGAGTGGACATAATCACTGGAAGTGACTGGACCTTATTTGGATACTGATTTGAACAAACTAAAAAAAAAAAAAAAGACAAAGGGGGAAATGTGACCACTGATGGGATACTTGATATACAGGAATTATTGATAAAATATTTAGGTGTGATAATAGTATTGTTGTTATGTTTCTGAAAAGATAGTTTTCTTGTAGGGATATACGCTATTTATAAATGAAATGAAGGGAGAGTAGATAAGGGACATAAATAAAGTAAGATTGGCTATAAATTGATAATTGTTAAAGGTGGGTGATGGTTCCATCAACAATTTATTATAAGAATCTTTTTACTTTTATATATGTTTGATGTTTTCCATAGTAAAAGCTAAAAATTCAAAAATAAAAGTAAGATAGTACGGTACTGGTGTGGAGTTAGGCAAACTGGACAAAACAATAACAAAAGCTAAAAACAGCCCAGAAACAGATTCTTATGCAAATAAAGTATGTCATGTGACAAAAGTGGTCCTAAAGATTATTGGGGGAAAGGGACTATTCAGTCACTGATGCTGGATCAACTCCTATTCAAATGCAAAAAAATGTCACCAGATCTCTACCTCACATAATACACAAAAATAAATTCCAGATATATTAAGGACTTAAGTGTGAAAGGCAAAACTTTAAATCTTAAGGGATGGTATAGGAGAATATCTTTCTAACCATAGCATAGAAAGATTTCTTTTTTTTTTCCTTTTTGTCTTTTTTTCGTGCCCGGCAACGGATCGCAACCCTCAGTGTCGCGCCCGTACCGGACCGGGACCGGCTATGGGATCGCAACCCTTGGTGTTGCTCCCGCACCTCGCTCAGCCAGTGAGCGGGAACCGGTCTGTATGTGGGATCCGAACCCTCAGCGGGAGCGCCGCCGTGCTTCCCAAGCGGCGCACTGTAGCAGTGCGCCACCGGGCCGGCCTGAAAGATTTCTTAAAAAAAAAAAAAAAAAATTAAGGCTGTTGGTTAGCTCAGTTGGTTAAAACACAGTGTTGTAACACCAAGGACAAAAGTTAGGATCTCTGTACCTGCCAACCACCAAAAAAAAAAAAGTAACCATAAAAGATTAATAAGTTATACTGTATAAAATTAAGAATTTCTGCTAAAAGACACCATAAAAATGGGGCAAGGAGAATCTATAATATATAAAACTGTATAACTACAAATCAGTTAGAAAAATACACACAATCCAACAGAAAAAAGAGAGATGATGTGAATGGGCATTTCACATAAGAGGCAACATATGTGCACAATAAATATGTAATAAGATGTTCTACTTATTAGTGATTATGGGTATGCAAATTATGACCATTCAGAGATACCTACCAGATAGACACAAGTTAAGTAGTCTGATAATACCACATTTGGAGAATACGTAGACCAATGGGAAATCATATATTGTGATAGTAGTGTAAATTGGTACAACCACTTTGGAAAATGACTTAGCAATATCTTGTAAAGTTGGACATTTACTAATCTATTGGCCCAGAAATCCGCTCCTGGATATATATTCTAGAGAAATACTTGGACATGTGTCCAGTGTGCACACAGACAAATGGAAATGCTGCTAGCACCACTGTGATAGCAAAAATCAAGAAACAATCCAGAAGTTCATTAACAAGAGATGAATAAGTTGTCATACATTCACAAAGTAAGATACTTAATAGCACTGAAAATGAGTAAGCTATAGTTGCAGGCAACAACATGCATTATTATGTTAGAAACATAATTTGTGAAAATAGTAAGTTCCATATGACTATGTGGAGACTGATATCACTTATAAATCTCCTAAATAAGCATAAATAAACAATATATTGTTTAGGCATATGTATATACAGAGTTAAAAAAAATTAAGCAAGAGAATAATAAACACAGCATTCAGTCTAGTAGCTAATTCTTGGGGAGAGGAGGTAGAAGGCATAAATAGACACAAATATTGGTTACATTCTAGTTCTTGGGCTGAGTGAGGATTTCACATAGTATGTGGTTACTGTGTTTTATAATTTACATACATTCTTTTGTAAGTATCAAATACATTTACAAAAGGTAATGGAAAAACAACTTTACATTGAAACAACCTTAAAGATGAAATTCATACCTTCAACTATGCTGGACTTAGCAAGAAATCCTGAAGATATTTTTAGAGCTCCATTGAATACTACAAAGCTTGCACCTGTCACTGATAAAGAAATAGAACAATTATGTTTTAACCTGCTTATTTTTATGTTATATATTTCTTAAATGCAGAATGTGGAGCACACACATTTTATCATCTTTTTTTGGTGGGGGAGAGGGGAAGACTGGCCAGTATAGAGACTGAACCCTGGACCTTGGTGTTCTCAGCACTATTCTCTAATCAACTGAGCTAACTGGCCAGCCAGTATGAACTTTTAAGTACACAATAAATGTATGTCCATACAACTTATATTAGAAAACTAATAAAAAACAAAGCAAAATTAAGATAAAACATTGCATAAAAATAATTTAATGTTTGTATGTTATAATTGATGGACTATTGTTTAAAATGTTTGTACCTGTGTAGTGAGGGTGTGGGAAATCAAACATTCACTACTGGTGATAGCATAAATCAGAACAGTCTCTATGGAGCCCTAACCTGACAATTATCTATTAAAATTACAAATAAGTGTATCCTTTGACACACCAATTCCACTTCTAGGAATTTATCCTATTGACAGGTTCAAATGTGTACAAAATGGCATGTGTACAAGGTTATTCACAGTAGCCTTTTTATAAATAGCCAAGGATTGGTAACAACTTATGTCCATCTATAAGGGACAGTAAAATGATGTACACATACAAAATGGAAAGTTATATGGAATGTGATAGCTCTTCATATACCAACACAGAATAATCTCCAAGACATATTAACAACAACAACAAAAAAAAGCAAGGTGAAGAAAGGAACAAATATTATGACTTCTCTAAAAAAGTGGATGAAAGAGATGATATATGTGTGTATATTTGCTTGAAAATCCATTAAAGGAAAAATGTCTCTGAAAGGATATACAAGAAACTGATAACATTGGCTTGGTTGCCTATGGGGAGGGTAAGAAGACGGCTGGGTGGTCAAGAGAGGAAAGGAGATTTTTCACTTTAAATATTTATACCTTTTAAATTTTAACTCATAAATATATACCTATTCAACAAATGAATATTTAAAAGTTGTTCAATTTTAATGACCCAAAACACTAATGACATGTTAAGTAAAAAAACACAATACAGAAGTGTAAATATCCACTATAAAATCATCTATTTACCATATATATTAATATAAGAAGGAAATACAGTAAAATGTCAACATGTCCATATCTTGGCACTTTTTTCTTTTACTACTTTTTAAAACATATTTTCTAAGTGTACTACATTACTTTATAGTCAGAGAAAAAATTTTACTAGCAGCCAGAATGTCTGACTATTTTAAATATGTTATTCTATACTATATTAATTTTATGGAATACTTATTTCCACTTAACTCTCAACTTGCTAGACCCTCTGCTGCAAGAGTTTGGTAATCACAGCAGTCATTGACGCCACTGAGCCAGAGCTGAGAGTAATGTTACTCTAAGATGCTGCTTACTCTGCCACCTTTATCATTTTTATATCCCCAGCTGCTAGTTTTATAAATTATTCTTTACTCTTCTCCACCCTGTGCTCCCCCAACTAAGAGGAGCTGGAGCAGAGAGTGAACAAATAGAAAAAAACACCTCATTCAAGAGAGAAATTACTCAAATTAAGGCTCGCATCCTATGGGATACACCAAACCTGAACATATTAAAAGGATTATAGTCTTCCAAATCTTTAAGCCTGAGAGAAAAACACAAATTAGAAGTGATTTTTATAATCTGTTCTTTGTATAGCTGAAATTTTAAAGCAAACTATTTTATCACCATTGATTCAGCAAATAAGTAAAAAAATATATATACTTCTCCTTTGAAAGGAATTCTATTAATTGAGGTGGTTTTATAAATTAGCACAAGGAACCATGACTCTCACCTTTTCTAGGATGGCCAGTAGCACTATTGGCTTGTGTTTGATAAACTCCATCATTCTGTATACAGACTAGATGAGAATCTGCTTCTGTACTAAAACTAGCTCCAATGCTGATGACATGCTCATTAGAAGAATTTATTACTTTCATTACCTGGAAAACAACAAAAACAACACGTGTTTAGAAACACTGTGAACATTTTATGCCTATTTTAAGAGTCATATTCCTGACCAGCTTCATAATTATCAAGCTTGGTCTGAACAAATCCCTGAGAATGTGATAGACACAAATGTTTTAAAATAAAATCACTTCAAATAATAGATAATACAGAAGTGGGCCCACTAGCTCAGTTGGTTAGAGTGTGGTATTTTAACACCAGAGTCCAGGGTTTGGAACCCCATACTGGCCAGCTGCAAAAAAAAAAAAAAAAGATGAAAAAGTAGGATGAACAAATTCATTATTAGTAAACAAGTTTCAAAAGTAATGTTTATTGCCATAATATATTAGATAGTATAATTCAAAACAAAAAATTCAATTTGACATAATTCTAAGAAACTGTAATGTTCAATTATTTTTCTTTAAAATTTGAATAAAGCAATTATACTTACATCGCTGTATTTTTTCCGTGGTATTTTTATGCAGCTTTTTCCCATTTCCATGTGAATCAATAGCTGATCTATAGTATGCAAAGTATACTGGTAATTTCGAAAGTCCTACATAAAAATAATCACATTTCCATAAGACCTAAACTATTATCTGTGAATATTTACCCATCCATTAAATCCTTTTTTAAAAGTATCCATTATTTTAAGACTTCTGACACATAACTATCAAAATGCCATCCTGAAAGCCAGTGTCAACAACAAATCCTTCCAGCTACTCACAACAGTAATAAAGAATATCATTCTCAAAAAGAATTTCATAGGGGGCTGGTTAGTTGCCTCACTTGGATTGAGTGTGGTGCTCATAACAGCAAGGTCCAGGGTTCAATCCCCACACCAGCCAGCCACCAAAAAAAAAAAAAAAGAAATAGAGGAGATATCAAAAAGAATTTTGCAGCATTTGGGGTATTCTCCTCTCCTTCTGGTTATGGATCTTCCAAAATAGAAAAGCTCTTCAAATGGACATGAATAAATGAAAGTGAGTCCACTGAAATATTTTTTTATGGTAACAAGTCCGCACAAAATTACAAAAATTATAGGTAAAAGGGACCCTCAGACACCATCTAATCCAACCCTTCCTATTACAAATAAGGAAATTAAGGCCATAATGATTTATTAAACTTTTACTAAAGCTTCAACAATAGAGATCTGTGTAGAGGTCTCACATTACCTAACATGTAAGAACTGCAGTAGAATGAATGAAAAGCAACTAGAATTAGGTACACATAAATTAGGAGACAGGTTCTACAAAAGCAATTAATCAGAAACAGCCCATTTACTTTAAACTAATTAGTATTTATGGTAAATGAACTTTTATTATACCAAGTATGCCAAATTAAAATAGGGAAATATAAATGTGTGAAATTTGCTAAATATTTTTTTTTTTTTTTGTCTTTTGTCTTTTTCCGTGTCCGGCAACGGATCGCAACCCTCAGTGTTGCCCCCGTACCGGACCGGGGACCGGCAACGGGATCGCAACCCTCGGTGTTGCTCCCGCGCCTCGCTCAGCCAGTGAGCGGGAACCGGTCCGTATGTGGGATCCGAACCCTCGGGCGGGAGCGCCATCGCGCTTCCCAAGCGGCGCACTATCCAGTGCGCCACCAGGCCAGCCCCTAAATAAATTTTTTAAGTAACAGTATAAAAACACTTAAAATCAATTACTCACAACAAGTAAGTTCATAATAGTGTGTCCTATTTCTCCAAAAAGAGGTTTTCGGCCTCTGATACTTGTTAAAGGAGTGGGATATGCTGTATATAAGAAAGGAAAACTGGTTACTATCAATACAAACCTAAAAGTCTTAAATTTATTTACCTTTAATTCTCATTTTTCAAGAAAACATTGTGTATAAATACCATCCAATCAGTTTTTAAGAGAAAATGAGATCTGATAATAACCCTTACTGTGTATCTACTAGATGTTACATTGAACTGGGAACTTTACATACGTTATCTTGTTTAAATCAACCCAGTGAGTAAGTGTGTCCATACCTATTTTATAGATGAGAAAATTGAGACATGGAGATTAATAAACTTGCTCATGGTGACTAAGCTAATAACTGGTGAAACAGATTGAAATTAGGCTTGCCTGATTCCAAAGCATTTCAACTTTTCATCACATGTTTCCACAAAATTATGGGGGGTGGAAAATTATAACAGGCTAGACACCTATACAAATCTGATAACTTAAAGAGAAATCAACATTGTGAAGATGTCCATCCTACCCAAAGCAAACTACAGATTTAATGCAATCCCCATCAATATACCAATAACATTCTTCACAGAAATAGAAAAAACAATCCTAACATTCATATGGAACAACAAAAGACCCTGAATAGCCAAAACAATCTTGAACAAAAAAAAGTAAAGCTGGAGGCATTACACTTCCTGATTTCAAACTATATTACAAATCTATAGTAACAAAAACAGCATGGTACTGGCATAAAAACAGACATGTGAACCAATGGAACAGAATAGAGAACGCAGAAATCAACCCACATATTTACAGCCAACTGATCTTTGACAAGGGCACCAAGAACACACATTGGGGAAAAGACTGCCTTTTCAATAAATGGTACTGGGAAAACTGGATATCCATATGCAGGAAAATGAAACTTGATCTGTACCTCTCACCATATACCAAAATCAACTCAAAATGGATTATAGACTTAAATATAAGACCTGAAACTTTAAAACTCCTAGAAGAAAACATAGGGGAAACACTCCAGGATTTAGGACTGGGCAAAGACTTTATGAATAACACCCCAAAAGTACAGACAACAAACAAAAAAATAAACAAATGGGGTTACATCAAACTAAAAAGCTCCTGCACAGCAAAGGAAACAATCAACAGAGTGAAAAGACAACCCACAGAATGGGAGAAAAGATTTACAAACTATGCATGTAACTAGGGATTAATATCCAGAATATACAAAGAGTTTAAACAACTTTACAGCAAAAAAAACCCAAATAAGCCAATTAAAAAATGGTTAAAGGAGGGGGGCCGGCCCGGTGGTGCACTGCTATAGTGCGCCGCTTGGGAAGCGCGGTGGCGCTCCCGCCGAGGGTTCGGATCCCGCATACAGACCGGTTCCCGCTCACTGGCTGAGCGAGGCGTGGGAGCAACACCGAGGGTTGCGATCCCATTGCCGGTCCCGGTCCAGTACGGGGGCGACACTGAGGGTTGCGATCCGGTGCCGGACACGGAAAAAGACAAAAAGGGAAAAAAAAAAAAAAAGGGTTAAAGGAGCTGAATAGACATTTCTCAAAGGAAGACATACAAATGGCTAACAGGTATATGAAAAAATGCTCGACATCACTAATCATCAGGCAAATGCAAATCAAAGCCACTTTGAGTTATCACCTCACCCCAGTCAGACTGGCTACTATAAAAAAAAACAGAGAATAACAAATGTTGATGAGGATGTGGAGAAAGAGGAACCCTTCTGCACTGTTGGTGGGACTGTAAATTAGTACAACCATTATGGAGAAGAGTATGGAGGTTCCTCAAATAACTACAGAAAGAACTACCATATGATCCAGCAATCCCACTACTGGGGATATATCTAGAGGACTGGAAATCATCATGTCAAAGGGATACCTGCACTCCCATGTTTACTGCAGCTCTATTTACAATAGCCAGGCAATGGAACCAACATAAATGTCCATCAACGGATGACTGAATAAGGAAATTGTGGTATAAATACACAAAGGAATACTACTCAGCCATAATAAAGAATGAAACTCTATCATTTGCGGCAACATAGATGAGCCTGGAGAAAATTATCCTGAGTGAAACAAACCAGGTACAAAAAGAGAAATACCACATGTTCTCACTCATAACTGGGAGCTGAATTCATAAACAAATGATAAAAAGAGACAGAGAGAAATAACAATCACAGTAATACATTGAACTTTTTGAAAGAGAGAAAAGACCCATGGTTACTAGAGGTGGAAAAGGGGAGGGGAGGGGGAGACGGAAGGGGGCTAACGAGGAATTGGTTAACGGACACAAAGAATGATTGTGTATGAATAAGCTAACTATCCTGATCTAACCATCACACATTGTACACAACTACTGAAAATCAATGTTGTACCCCACATGTATGTATAATAAATTATCTTAAAAATATTTTTTAAAAAAGTAAAGAGAAATACAAAGAATTAAAGACTTTCAAGGCATTTACAATTAATTTCCAACTGTGCTAATTTTATGAATGGTAGTAAACTTTTATAGTTCTTGGGTCAGCATAATAAAAGGAGCATAAAGAGCCAGAGAAACCAATGCAGAAAAGGGGAAGGAGCATAGGTTCTGTTGCCTAACTACTTTTTCTTTAGGTCACTCTAAAATACTGGACACCAAAAAGGGAAAGATATCTTGCTGGCAAAGCAGCAGGCACTCTGAAAGAAAATGAAAATGGTAACAATGATGAAAAGCAGACACATTTTTAACCTTCAGTACTCAGCTTTGGTCATAAGCAAACTAACCCTTCTAATACTTATTACACAAATGTAATTCCTTAAAATTCTAAGAAAACACCACATACCTGACATTATCTATTTTAAAGATTTAACTCACAGTAATCACATCCTTGCTAGCATAAACATTTTGTAATTTTAAAAAGGGCAACTAAGTTATTTGGAGGAAAGAGTCTAGACTAGAAAAAAACACAAGATATTAGTGTTAAAAGACATTAAAATGTTAAAGAACATGATTGAGGTAAATGCCAACTTTTATATCAACGAGAGAGCATCCTTTGTACTTTGATAGAGGTAATTTTATTTAAAACACTAATCTCAACAGCTTATGCTTAGAATGACATACTCAGAGTTACAAAGGGACCCATCTAATCCAACATTTAACGATATTCTAAATAAATGCTCTAACCATAAAAACACAGACAATCCCCATTTGAAAATTACTAATTTGAGAAGGTTATTTTCAGCCTGTAATCTTGGGACTTTAACTTTTGCCATTAGCTTTTTCATACATACATTATCGTTAACAAAATAAACACACACACACACACATCCAAATTCATGTCTGAAGAGGCATGGGTACCAATAAATCAAAGTGCCGGTCAATCTAAAATCCAGCAGAACACAGAGCATTTAGAAAACAGCTGCTACTAATTCACTTCTATGTATAACTAATGATTTTCCCTCATCACCACTAAACAGCTATCACAGCTTTGTAGTTCCAACCCCTATGATCTTTTGAGAAGTTCCTCACACTGCTCCATGATTTTCTAATAAGCAGTGTGAGAAAATAAGTTTTACTATCTAGAAGTGCTACTAGCCAAAACAGTGGCCATATTTATCAATTATATATTCTATAATTTGATTAGCTAGTATACTGCCCTAATCATCCACAAAAATAGCATTAAAATATTAATATCAAAGACAAAATATTTGACTGAATGGATGAAACACTTGGCTCAGAATGAAATTTCTCTAACTCTTTAGTTCGCATAGTATAAAACCTGAGATGAAGATTAAATTTTGCTACTTTTTACACAAATTAATATCATCATATATTTAAATCCTAAATGGTAAAGAACCTCCACTCACAAAATCAGAGTTTAATAAATTTTGCCAAATAACAGGGATTTAAATGAATATCTCACTGAACGTGTCCCTTCTGAAAATAATGATCACTTTTATAACTTCTCTACATTTAATTGTCCTCCAAGAAAATACCTATTAAATTAGTTAGACTCGAATGCCTAAAATTTCATTAGATATAATATACTGCACATGCAATAAAGATATTTTTTTGAAAAAAGCCAGGGATAAAGATATGGTGGGAATTCAAAAGTTTAACACTAGGAATGATTTTGACTTAGAAATAACTATATACATAAACCTGGACCATCACAGTTGTGTCAGAATCTTCAGTTATGTCAAGAGTACATGTGTAAATACAGAAACACACATACATAAATGATATAGTCTACATCACTTTTGAGTGATAAACTAAATGTCAGTAATATAAAAATAAGAATAAAAAACTTCAAGCTTAGAAAAATGACAATCACTATTTTTTAAGTATCTCATTCCTTAAAATTAATTAACTCTTAATTATAGTCAGCAACTAAAAGCAATAGCACTGATAATCCAAAAATTGTTTGGCTTCATGATGTAGACAAACTGAGAAGGCCAATAATTTACTTTCTTAATACATAGGCAACAAACTCTCAACAGTACAAGCTTTTAAGAAAACTTGTGCAAGAATAATATTGTCAAAATTATGTTTTGTTCTGAAATTGAAAAAAAATTTTAAGTTAAGTTAATGCTTATATAATAATTTACAAACATCTAGAAACTTCATGTCATACCAAGGTTGTTTGGACCAACTTGGTAGTACAAGAGCATTGTTTTGAAATTTTAAAAGTATACCAAAACAAGAGTAGTTTCATTAATCCATTAAAAATTGATTTTCATGATTTCCCTGAAATTTTTTACATTTAAAAATAAACGTATATTTGAACCTACATATTTTCAAATATTTAACTTATTATTTGAAAACTTACCTTTAATTTAATTTAATTTAACTTATTATTCTAAAACTTACCTTTATATTCCGCACCCAATCTCAACATTAAACGCATAGGAAAAACCTTTGCCCAGGGAATCTCTAGCTTCTGGATAAGAATTCCACAAAGAAAAGGATTACTTGGTAATGGGAGATCATCAAGTTTCTGAAAAGTAGGTGTAATAAACAGGAATCCTCCATGATCCTTGCTATTGAGAAAACTCTCGGTAAAGGTAATATTATCCAAGTTTTCTATGTATTTTCCTGGAAATAAAATTAACAAAAGATTTTAAGTTTTGTTATTGCTTTGAAGAAATGCTCTGAGTCTGAATGTCCCAATATAAACTTTCTTAAGTAAAGGAATGTACTTTCTTATTTCTACTCTTTTTTGTGTGTGTGTGTGACCGGTAAGGGGATCGTAACCCTTGGCTTGGTGTTGCCCGCACCACACTCAGCCAGTGAGCACACTGGCCATCCCTATATAGGATCCGAACCCGTGGCCTCGGCGCTCCCGAGGCATCTGTTGAACACCTTCTGGGCACAAAGCTCAGATACTCCTGGAAACTGGGGATTGTGAATAAAAATTTGAAAATGTTTCCAACCATATATGCCTTTAAAATTTTCTCCTTACTGCATGGTCAAGTGAAAAATTGTCATGCCCCCCAATCTTACACAGACAGGAAGAAAATGATATAGATATATCATTAAAAAATTAAGGAGGCAGATTTGCCATTTAAAAAAAAAAATCTGTGCATATTCACTAATCACATAAAATGCTAGATTTAAGGAGACTGAGAATAAAGATTAAGATCTTTAAGAAATCAGAAATTTCTTCGCAAAATAAATCTTTAGAAGTTAGCATAGCCAAAAGCATAAATGTCTTTATCTAATTTATCTCCTATTCAGAAGAGTTCAAAATAAAATGCTATACCTTTTAGAGCATTGTTATATATGGTGATAAACAGTGTGAAGATGTCCTTAGGAATAGTATCTTCATTTGGCAAACATAACAATAGAATGATAATTTCTGCCTGTCCCAAGCCATGCAATCCATTGGTTGAGAAGTACCAATATTTGTCTGAGGAATCTTAAATGATAAAAGCATACAACTATAAATGTCAACTTCTACTCCAAAATAACTAAAAATAAACTGTTTTTCCCTGAAGCATAACTCTTCGAATTCCTCATTTTCCTAAAGTTCTCATAAAAACTTTAAACTGAATTGTATAAGGTTCATGTAAAAAAAGAATTATTATCTTATGGAGTCAATTAATAAATAACACTAAAATAAAAGATACACTAATGCTGAATGTTGTGAGTAAGAATCAGGTTAGTTTCAAAGAGAATGAAAAGCTGACAGACGCATTATTGTAGTGAGGATTATTTATTATTGAGGATTATTTACTTCCTTACTTTTAACTATGTCACATTTTACTTAGCTTGAATTATTTAGTACTTTATTGATACTAAACCAGGATTCCTGCTTTTCTCAATTACCAAATTTCGATTTATCTAAAAGCTATAGGAGATACAGTCAATTGTATCAAGAGCATCAAAATACAGCTCCGGGATGAGCCCACGACCATAACTTCAGACTGACTGAAGGATGCTAGTAATAATCTGTAAGCTCGTATTTCAAGTCCCATTGAATATAAACTTGCAAATTTTATTTACAGTCATATCTGGCTGAAAAATCAATATCCACTGCTACTTATTTTTCACTGTTGCCAGTCAAATCTAACCTGAAGATGTAATTACTTCAGAAATCCCTTTTACCAATTTAGCAAAGAAATATGAATCACTACTTACAAAATACTAATTTGACATTCACGAGTAGATTGGCATTTAGGACAAATGTAACAGGATGAAACCCTTCGCCTTGGAGAAGCAAAATGACCTGCTCATGAGATGGCCGTTCTTCTACTACAGGCACTAAATAATAAAATATATTAATCAGGATAAATATCCTGCTAAATATGCTGACAACAAAAAAAAAGTATAAATCTGCCAAAGGCCTGATCGAATTTAAAAACAAAAGCAAACACGTTTCATAAAATCAACCAACACCCTGGACAATTGTTACATACTTATTTTTACTTTTCTATCCATGCAAAGTTACAATACTATAAAACGTATAAATCTTCACATATCATATAGAGTATATATACAATATGTTGATTATACAGCATATTTATACAGTTTTAGCATCTTCAAAATTAAAGCTTTTGTAAAGTGGATTCCACTTTGCTGGTCATTCTGATTATAATTCCTGAAATTTACAAGTCTGTGGAAGTAGTCTAGACCCAAGTTATATATGCTGCTTGCTGCCATGTGCCTATATCAGTGACAGGTACCAAAAAAAAAAAAACCACACATATATATGTATTTTTACATATTTATACACACATAAATACATATATGTAAAAACACATATTTATGTATTTATGTATATATACCTGTATTTTTATATATGTGTATATATAGAGAGAGAATCTTGACAATCAATAGGGAAATAAGCATGACATGAAAAGGAGAGGGCTTAATGTATTTTTGCCCTTACAGCAAGGTTCATGAAATGGCTCCTACTGACAGTACAGAGATCCTGCTTCTGGTCAAGATGGTGGAACAGACAGTCCCCAGCATCACTATCTCCCACAAATCAACCAATTTACAACTATAAAAAAGCAACAACAGCCAAGCTGGGGCTGCTAGAGCTCAGGGGAAGAGGAGGAGAGACCTATAGAGTTCATGAAGGTGGGAGAAGCCATGATGAGAGAGAGAAAAAACCACTCTGACTATTTCATGCTGTGGCCACTTTAAGGCTAGAGTTGCTGAGTGCATGGAGCAGGCACCATCAAAAGCCACAGCTGTGCCCTTTGGATGGAGTTGCTCAGAGTCAGCTTCCACTCCTTGGTGGAAGTGTTTGCAGCACTGGCGGTGGGGGAGATGGGCCCACCGGGAGAATACTGGGGCACAGCATGGTCAGCTGATCTGCCCCCCAATCAGCACAGGACCACTCAGAGGAGACTGGTCAGGAATACAGAATTGCTTGGGGTGCAGTTTGATGAAAAGACTCAGACCCAGATCAGAGTTTCTATACAACCCAGGTGCACCAGATCACTGGAGAGCCAGAAGTACCTATAAAGTCAACCATTAAAACCTGAGCTGCACAAAAAGCCTTCCCTAGGGAAGCAGCAGCAAAGCAACAATTTAGCTAAACCACACAGCTCAAGTACTCGTCCCTATAGGAAGTCCCCCCATTTTAGAAGTAAGCAAAGGACAAAAAATTAGTTCCAGCCCAGGCACACCTCCAGCACCAAAAAGCATGCCAAAAACATCACTTTCATGTGTGTGGCCCACCACAGCCACCACAATAACCATGGCTGCCGCAAAAGCGGCTAGATGCCACAACCACCATGCTGATGGTCTGCCGGCCACTGGAGTGCACAAGGAGAGTGACCAGCAGAGACCAAAGAAAAGAAGATATCTCTCTCCAAAAAGCCCATTCCAGAGTGACATAAGAACCATCTGCTCTACAATATCATAGGAGGACCTGAACACACCTCTCAGCATTGGACAGATCATCTAGGCAAATAATCAACAGAGTAACCATTACTCTTTCAGAAGGAAAGAAGAAATCTAGGGTAATTAGAGGGGGGAGAAGGGAGGGAGAAGGGAATGGGGAGAGATTGGACTAGGGGCATAAAGAATAAGTATGATTTGTAACAATATATATGCTAGTAATATTGATTTGATCAACATATCTCAACACTGAACCCCCAAAATATGTATAATCAATTTTATTAAAAAAAAACTTTAAAAAAAAAAAAAAAAAAAAAAAAAAAAGAACAGAGCTCCTAAGCTTCATTCTCCTACATTAACATGTAGAGAACCACTATTTCATATTTTGGGATGCAACATGATGCCTAGGATAACAAATGTCTATCCTAGGGAACCAACCCTCTAAGGTAGGAGCTAGCCACAGAATCTCCAGCTTGAAAAGGACCTTAGAGATCATCTAAGTTCTCTTCTTTACAAAGGAAACTGAGGCCCAAGGAGATTAAATAATATATAACATGCTTCAAGTCATACACATAATAATAGCAGATGAGTAACTAAAATTCCTAACTTTGTTATACAATATAATACTTTTTGCTTTAGGTATCATACTGCTTAACAAACAAACAAACAAAATAAGCAAACAAACAAAATTTACATGGAGTTAAAACTCTAATACAATGAAAACATTTCTCAGGGTGATGGAGTTTGGATGTGTTGTCCCCTCCAAAACTCATGTGGAAATTTGATCTCCAATGTGGCAGTGTTGGAAACCCCCCCCCCCACGGGGGCGGATCCCTCATGAATGGATTAATGCTCTCCCTGGGGGAGGGGGGATTAATGAGTGAGTTCTTGCTCTATTAGTCTCCACGAGAGCTCGTTGCTTAAAAAGACCCTGGCACCTTCTCTCTGTCTTGCTTCCTGTTGCCATGTGATCTGCTTGTACCTGCCAGCTGCCTGCCACTTTTCCACCATGAGTAGAAACAGCCTGAGGCCTGTGCCAGATGCAGCTGTCCCAGAATCGTAAGCCAAATAAACCTCTCTTCTTTATAAATTACCCAGTTTCAGGTATTCTGTTATAGCAACACAAAACGAACTAAAACACAGGGCTAAAAGTCTATGAGTTTCTCTATTGTATAGGACTTTGCCTCATTCTAAATTAGGGACCCAGATGTGATAAATGAATCATAAAAGTTCAAATCTTTTTACAATTTATTTTTTGTAATAAGACTTTTTATAAACTAAAGTTACCAGCCTTAGTACATGTTGTAACCAAATTGTCTAAGTTAAAAAAATGCATTTTATGTATCACAGACAAAATTCATCAGTACACTCTTTTAAAAAAATTCTTTTTAAATTTAAGTAACTGCTATCTTACCTGATCCCTTTTCTCCAGATTCAACCAGAAGTGGGGGCAAACTGTCCTCATCATTAGGTAGAAGACTAATCTTATTGCAAACATACTTGTCAATACCACACAGCAACCTATAATCTGAAATACTAGCAACAGGTAAATTGCTGTTAACTAAGATACCAGTAGCATTAGATGGTTCCTCAACTTCTGCAAAAACGTCATCTAATGTAAAAGAACCAGAAGTAGGTAACCCCTCAGTTCCTGTGTATATAGATGGGTTTTCCACAGATGGAACCTGAGAAATAGGACTCGGAATTATCTCATTTCTTGTAATATCTCCTATCTCACTGTTCGATTTTTCCACTGTAGTAGAATGGGCATGATCCACTGAGTTTACTGTCTGTAAAATATGAAATAAAAAAATAAATCAGTTCATATTCTCTGTTCAACTGAAATGTTGATCTCTATAGCTACTAAACATATCTTTTTAATAAGAATAAATATCCCTGTACTGGCCAGCCACCAAAAATAAAATAAAATAAAGAATGAAAACTGAAATGGACTCAGAAATTGTTCTGAAGTCAAATTTCCTGAAAAACATTACCATTTTGCTTCTTTAAATTCAGTAGTAGAAGGTATTAAGGAGCATAAGGTTTTAGCTTTACCACATGCTCAGTCGTTTACTCTAGGTATGAGGGTACTTCAAAAAGTTCATTGAAAAATGGAATTAAAAGATAACACAAATCTTTCCCTGAACTTTTTGAAGACTCCTTGTATTAATGACTTTAATATCATAGTCTGGAAAAATGAGGCAAAACTTCAGTATCCTGTAAAAGCTTACACAGTGAGCAAGCTTAGTTCAACCCAAGGCTATCCCCTTCTTATGATAGCCAAAAAAGCCTTGGGTGGGTAGTGGGGAAGGAAAGTGGGGAACAGAGAGGAGGGGAGTGGTTAGAAAGCAAAGTGGTGGGACCGGCCCGGTGGCGCACTGGATAGTGCGCCGCTTGGGAAGCGTGGCGGCGCTCCCACCCGAGGGTTCGGATCCCACATACAGACCGGTTCCCGCTCACTGGCTGA